GGAGGGCAACAAAAATGATTAGGGGTTTGGAGCACATGACTTATGAGGTGAGGCTGAGGGGACTGGGATTGATTAGTCTCCAGAAGAGAAGAATGAGGGGAGATTTGATAGCAGCCTTCAACTACCTGAAGGGGGGTCCCAAAGAGGATGGAGCTCGGCTGTTCTCAGTGGTGGCAGATGACAGAACAAGGAGCAATGGTCTCAAGTTGCAGTGGGGGAGGTCCAGGTTGGATATCAGGAAAAACTATTTCACTAGGAGGGTGATGAAACACTGGAATGCGTTACCTAGGGAGGTGGTGGAGTCTCCTTCCTTGGAGGTTTTTAAGGCCCGGCTTGACAAAGCCCTGGCTGGGATGATTTAGCTGGGAATTGGTCCTGCTTTGAGCAGGGGATTGGACTAGATGACCTCTTGAGGTCCCTTCCAACCCTGATATTCTATGATTCTATGAAACGGAGAGCTGAGGTATGAAATATTATTCAGGGCTTGCTTGACCTCCACTAAACTTCAAGTGCCAGACGATATGTTTAACATTGTGTACCAACTGCGCTGAAAGAGTAGTCGTTAGGTGTTCAGAGGTGCCACTCATTTCATTTGCAAAGAGGGTCCAAGCAGGTGGCCCAGTTCAGAATCTCGGAGAAGTGAATGGAGAACTCTGTCAGACCAAAGTTCCATCTAGCCCAGTAGCCAGTCTTCTGACAGTGGCCAGTGCCAGATGCTTCAGAGGGAATGAACAGAACAGGGATGTCGAGTGATCCATCCCATCATCCAGTCTCAGCTTCTGGCAGTTGGAGGTTTAGGGACACCTGGAGCCTGGGTCAAACGATTCTCATTTGGGCCATATTTTATGGAAACACAAGACTAAGAAAATGCAGCTTCCTAAACTCATAGAAATGACAGTAGAAATGGCTCTGAGCAAGGTATATTTACTGCTGATTTGACCATAGGAATTTGAATTGGGATTCCAAGGAGGCAAGAACCCCCTGGAGCAAAGTGCTCCATAGAGATCCAGAGCACACTACTAATAGAACGGCTAAATCTCTCCGTTGGATGATAAAACTGATATTCAGTATTTTGCTTTCTACGTTCACCGAAAACTCATGGCCAGCATAGCAAACAATGTTTAGTGAAAAATAAAATAACTGTTGCAAAACTTTCGCATTCTAGAGTGCATTTGCATCCATATTTTACCTGTTCTTTGAAAAACTAAAACACGTATTTAAAAAGAAGCATTGGCCCTGCATGTGAGCACCCAGTTCATGGGTCAGAGTCTCTGCCCACTTAAGTCATCCCATGCTCTGTGACGAGCTGCAGAGGAGCTCCTGGCTGCAATGCACAGAGCTCTGCCACCCATTTGTTCTCCTCTGCCCACTTTCCTGCAGGAGGGGAGCACGCAGGCCTGCGTTAATTGGATAGTTACATGGTTAACAGACCTCTACCTTGGTTGATTTTTAACTGAATTCATACACACATAGGCCCCAGTCCTATAGTCAGATCCCTGTGGGATGATCCCAGCACTCATATGGAACCCCACTGGGACTCAGCACAGGTGTTAGAATTCATCCGTGTGGATCCAATCACAGCATCAGGACTATCATGTCATCCATCTTGTGGCTTTTCACAACCTAATGTTCGTTGATTAATCTGTCACAGTTTATACCCCTCCTTCCACCCCCACCCCCTTTACTTCCATTTGCCGATATTGGTGCCTGTTAATTCTGCCTCAGTTGAAACAGTACAACTGGAAAAACGACCAGGCTCACGTTGCAAGCACCATAGATGGTTGCTCTGTTCATGACTTCCATAGAAGGAGTGTGTGATTAGAATACGCAATGGAAACTCTGCTGCAAATCCATAAATATTCCCCCCATTCTTTGTCCAGGACAACACCCAGTGCATGTGCAATGACTCACCTTTAGAGATCATCAATGGGGTTTGAACTCCAGATCCTTAGTCCCAAAGCACAGACCTGTTGGGATAACTGGTCCTACAAATTTGCCCAAATTGTGAGTTCAGCTGTGAGAAGCGAGTGAAAGTTCATAAAGTGTCACAATAACCAATGATAATAAAAGTTGATGGGAAAAGTTACAAAAGGGAGACAGACTGAATTAGTGCAAACAGAAAGGCCTCCTGATATAATTCAAGGACTGTTTTAAGATCATGCTTGGTAAACGAGACAGCATCAGACCAAAAAAAAAATCAATGAACCATAATTGGTGTGCCAGAAATTAGGCCTACTGATGGACAAAATAATGACAGGACAGGCTATTCTGCCCATCACTCCCTTTTGGGGTCCTTAAAGAAAGACTCTGGGGAGAAAAAATTGGCTACCGGTGTGAGATTCAACATTATGGCTGCCACTCCCACCATCTTCTGGGACCATGGCCCTATGGAATCCTGATCCTGAGAGATGTCCTCCCCAGACTGGGCCACAGAGATGGACCCAGATGACGCTGCTACCTCCATCAGCTCCAGCTAAATCCTGAACCTTGTTTAAAACTGTTTAGTGTTGGACAGTGACTGGGGCATGTTAACAACTTGGACTTTTTAGGCTCCTATATTCCATCTAAATTGATACAACAGACCTCGACCCCTTGAGCTAAATGAGCAACTCCATTAGCTGGTAGCAGCAGTTGGTTGTTATCCACTAGCAGACCAGCCACTAGAGGGGGACGTGACACACACTTGGCCAGTGCGGTACACATATAGAGCCTGGCTTTCCTTTGTACTGCCCACATAGAGTAATTTATACCTGTGCAGAGTAGGTGGGAAATGCTACAAATCAGAACAATAACAATTTATACCCCCTTTCCACTGGTATATATGACTGCGCATGGTGCAGGGCTATGGCGTATCAGACACAATTTTTAACACAGAGGGGCTGACTCTCACATGAAGGCCACTTTACACCACTCTGACCGTGTAAAGGAACTTTAACGTAAATGAGCTACAAGCCCAGTTATCTTGATTTTCCTGCCATTATCAGCATTTGTCTTCCTAGCCTCCGTCTGCTATTACTTTCTCTCTCCGGAGCTTGCAGTCGTGTGCCTCATTCCTTCTCATTCGTAGCGTCACTGAGATTCCAAAACGACATCGCAATCGTGGAAAATCCACTTCCAAGCTACACGTTTACGCTCTGGATTGCAGAAGAAAACACTTTCAATGTCTCTTTATTTTTTAGGGCAGTGCCAGCACCTCCCCGTCTCCATTTGTCCAAATGTCAGGTGAGTATTTTCACTTAATCATACATGACTTTAGTGTCGGCAATCCAGTGCCATTACAGTTTCATTCTTCCTGTGAAGGGACTTGAAAATACTACCACGAAGAGCTGTGGTGGTGCCACCCAACACTCAGAGAGGAGAGTCACTGAAGGGTTAACTCAGAAAGGTATCCTAATGACATTAAATCCCTTCCCTGGAGCCCCAAGGAAAGGGAGACTACGAGAACCAACTCTGAGAGGGGAAGGCCAGTCTTGTAGTTAAGGCACTGGGTTGAAACTCAGAAGAATGGGGCTCAGTTTCTGGCTGTCCCAGACTCCTTATATGACCTTAGACAAATCACTTAAATTGCTTTGTGCCTCAATTTCCCTTCTGTAAAATGGGGAGAATACTACTTTCTTTGTCCATCTTTGCTAGTTACACTGCAAGGTCTTTGGTGCAGTGGCAGTCTCTCACGCTCAGTGGCATTGGCCACTGTTGGAAGACAGGATACTGGGCTAGATGGACCATTGGTCTGACCCAGTATGGCTGTTCTTACGTTTGTATGATGCGTAGCACAATGGGGCTCTGATCTCAGATGGGGCCTCTAGGTGCTATTGTGATATGAAGAACAATGCTGGGATGCACTCTGCACATGTTATTACAGAAGCAGAGACGCAAGCCCATTTGCCTAAGGGAGATACTTCCCTAGTGCTAATGGCCCAGGAGAAACCAGCTGTGCTGCTGAAAGATGCCTCCTGAGAGTGGACATGGGGTTGCCACTAATGTACAGCCTCACACAGCTCCACATTGTAGTAGAAATCACGGTTTCCCATTGGGCTGCACAGGGAAAGTGCAAAAGCTGGTATGGTTCATTTCAGGAGGGTGTGGTAAATGGGTGGATGGGAGCTGGTGGGTAGGGAGCAGATGGTTAGCCCCCCTCCCACCTCCCACACACAAGGTATGAGAGGGGAACAGAAAGGGAAGCAAAAGTGGGGGAAGGGCAGAGGCCAAAACAGCTGGTCCCCAGCCCATGGGCAGAGCAGTTCAGTGCAGAGCATCCCAACAAAGGCCCCAGTTCAGCAAAACATGATTTACTTTGCTGAACAGACATTGACCTAAACACATCCGTTTGTGCTTTGCTGAATCGGCCAATGCTGGGTTTCCTGAGGTTTAATTGGTACCTGAATTGGGCTTACCTGAGTCTATGGGAGACTGGTTTCTGGATCTTCAATAAGAGTTTGTCAAGTTCTGGTACAACACACACCAAGACTGAGAGAAAGGGGAAGGCCATGCTGTCATTTGATAATTTCGTAGTTTCATAGAGTGTAAGGCCAGAAGGGACCATTAGATAATCTAGTCTGACCTCCTGTATATTGCAGGCCATTAAATTTCACTCAATTACCACCATATTGAGCCCCATAATTTGGGATAGACTACAGCATTTCAGTCCTAGGAGACTAAACTGGTGTGTGCCACAGGCAGAGAACAGGAGAAACTGAGGTGTGACCAATGCCTGAGCCCCCTGCAATGGCAGGGAAATGATTAGGTGAGATCTTCCAAGATGATCCTAGCTTGAGATCCATGCCCCATGCTGCAGAGGAAGGCAAAAAAAAACCCAGGCACCCTGTAATGACCATGGGGGTAAAACCTGCTGTGCAGGGACACTTGTTTAACGACAGGATTCTCTCCTGCCCTGGGAAGTGGGCAGATGGTTGTTACAGATGGAGGGGAGAGTTGTGTGGTTTTCAGCTCTGTTGATTTGCCCAATGAATTTTGACTCAGTGGCTGGTGACTTTGACATGACCTTTCATTGGTATGACTTCCATCTTTCTCGCCAGCAGGCTCCACTGCCATGTCTGGTTACTATGGAGTTAGGAGATCATTCATGTCCGATTTGGATTTCCACAACACTAAGCCGCTTTCAAATGATGTTTATGCTTCATCCCTGGGGGCAAAGTCCTTTCCGTGTGACTCCTCTGCCGTTCAAGGGTACCCGCCGCTACTGGACCCCTATTTCACCGAGGACTATCGCGCCGCTGCCGTAACACCCAGCACCAGCTCCCTTTTCAGCACCTCCTCGCTGCCCCCGCTCCTGCCGCCCTTCCCCAGTGACTCAGCACATTTCTTAATAGTGAGTCTGTGCACTGCTTGGAATTTGGTATCCAGGGTTAAATGGTGGGTTGGCTTGTGTAGAGGGTGCACCACATCTGGAGGCATGGTACTGGAGCACAGGGAGCCTTGGTCTGATCCATTATGACAGTTCCTATGCTGCTGTCTTCCTGTCTCCTTCTGCCTAGCGAAGCCTCCCTGGCTGTCCCGCTGGGATCTGTCAGTTCTGCTTGTGGGTTGGTGGGAGGAGAGTTGATGGGAAGGGTCACCAAGTTCTCCTGCCTCTACCACCCCAAGGAGCAAGAACCAAGCTCAGTCCCAGACTCACAGCTCCTGCATGGCACGTATGAATCTGTATGCTCCACCCTCCCTCTTCAAACCCCACTGAAATGATAACCAGCCGAGCACTTACGGATATGCTTAATTTCAATGGACTTCACTGGGAATACTCGTGGGCTTACAGTTAAAGTGCTTTGCTGGATCAGGGCCTAAGACAATCAAGTCTGATCTGGAACTGGGTGCCATAAATTCTGGCTCTGTTTTCCTTAATCACTTTTTACACACTCCTGCTAGTGTCTAAGGACAATACAGAGCTGGCTGTGTGGGGCCTAGGTTAGAAAGCAGGAATAGCTTAGCTTGGTAAACTCAGAAGCTAGAAGACCCAGTAGATTAGGTGTTTGTGTCTTTTTGCTCTGGAACATGGCATTATTCTCAAAGATCTCCCTCACCCTCTTTCCAACAGAGAGACTCCTGGGAGCAGGGCATGCCCGACAGCCTCAACCAATCCGATGCCGTGTGCTCAGATTCCCTACAAACCTTGCCCACAACTACCAGCTGCCTCACCTCTCACGAGAGTGGAAGCACTTCCCAGTATAGAAGCTCAAGCTGGAGTTCTGCCATCCCAGGAGCCCAGTCCTACCCTTTGCATGCTTTTGAAGATGTCCACTACGTACCCAGTTACCCTGCCACCTCGTCCTATTCCTTTTCACCATTTATGACTGTAGCGAATGACCTACCTCCCAAGATGCTTCACCTCTCATCAGAAGAGCCCTTAGATACAACCTCCCTTCATGACAACTCCTCTTGGGCAAAAGAAGACGGGAGTCCAGTCTGGGGGACATATGAATGCCGAAGAACTTATTGAGGAAAGCTCACAGTTGGTGACAAATTAGAATTAACCTTCACTCAGACAGCTGACTTGATTGTAGGATATTTCCCTATAGTCAATCATTGAAAATTGAGGACAGTGATAACATACTTGAAGGCAAAAATGCTAAGAAGAATTTCAGACAAAGGAAATATTCATTGCTAAAATCAGCACATTACTTAATGCTCTGTTTAACAATATAATTGTCAATCCAATGCCCAGGGAAAGTCAATTTAAAAAGTCCAATGACTTCAGTGGTCTTTGGATCAGTCCCAATTTGGAAAACAACCTTAAGAAACAGAACCTCATCTTTTTAGTTGCTGATAAACCGTGTCTATTTAAACAACCTTAGAAGATTTCTACAAAGTGATTCTACAAAAAGATACCAAAGTTATGGAGGGGGAAGGATGGAAGCCTTTCAAATAATTTAAGTTCTGTATAGTGATATCTTACTATCTACCACATACATGTAAATTCCAAATGCCAATGTTATGTAAATATGGCATTGTCCTAGGGTGATAGTTATGGAAGGGATAGTAAATAGATGGTGAACTTGGACAGACAGCATATCAGGCAATGACAAATAAACTTCTGTAACCTAAAATCAGCCACAATGGATTGCTTCAAGGAAAATTATGATTGCAGTATACGAGCGCTTATCTGTTACAGTGGTTTTCATACCCAAATAATTACTATTTGTTATTATTCATTTATTGTGTGTAATGCTCCAAACAGCTCCAAGCCCCCCTTGTGCTATGCAAATACATAGTAAGTGACAGTCCCTGCCCAAAGAGCTTGTAATCTAAAACCCAGATCCTGCAAAGACTTAACTTTAAACGGGTAAATGGTCCCATTGATGTGTAAATGGTCCCACTAACTTCAAAGGCACTGCTCCTGGGTGCAGAGGTCTGCCTGCATAGATCCATTTGCAGGTTGAGGGCCAGTGTTTTTCCAAAGCCATTCTAAATTAGAGCTGTATGGGTATTTCTTGAAGCATAGAGGAAGAGGTGTCTGTATATAAATTATACAATCATATTTTGAAGGCCCATAATTTTACACCCCAACCCTGTTTTTTTTTCTAATGGCAAGGTCCATTAAACTCAAAATATCCCTTTATTATTATTTGCATTGTGATACCACCTAACAGTCCCACCCAATATCAGAGCCCCGCTACACTAGGTGCTGTACGAACACATAGTGAGAGATAATCCCTGTCCCAGAGATCTAAAAATCTAGACAAGGGATACAAACGGTGGGAGGAAAAACTAAGCACAGAGGGGAAAGCCTATTGATTTCACTGGGAATGAGGCATCTAAATACGGGTGAGGATCTGGGCCAAAATGACATCCCTAAGATCCCACAGCAGGATACTGGCAGAACCAGGAATAGAGCCCAGGTCTCCATATTGCAGGCCAATGTCCTGACCACTGGATCATACAACTCTTTTAGCCAAGAAGACACTTCATTACTATTTTTTTCTCATGTGATGAAATTCAACAGCCCAGATCTCACACGCAGCCCTACAACAGCCAGCCAGGAAGGAGTGGGGCGGGGGAGCAACATGCAATGGATAAACAGTTGTAAGGAAACAAATTGTAGTTTCATGCTTCCAAAGAGATTATAGCAACAGAAGTGAAAAAATACATTTTTAAACTGATTACAAAGTACGTCAGCTGTGTCCCTTTAAAAAGCTTTTCAGAACTTTAAACAATGTGTGTTCACGTGTTCACACACCCCAAAGCCCACTATTCACGCCCTTGCAAAGAGCCCTGCCAGGTGAAAAAGATATGTGCGCGCCGGGAGCTCAGTGTGGCCACTAGAGGGAGCTGTTCACACACAGATGGGACTAGGCCTGTCCCTTTTGTCTGCACAAAGCACATCCATTATGATGTTTCTAGTTAACTTCTTTGTGTTAGTAGCAATTTTGTTTCCAGAGCTGCTGCTGCTTTCTCCTTTGATGGGAAATGCTCCCTTAGTGTGGCAGCGGGAAAGACACAAAATCTTAGTTTAGGAGACATCGGACATGGCATCATGGGCTAAATCCCCAGGTCTGTCTGAATTATGCTCAGCACAAGGCCTGAGGAGTGTAGGGGAGACAAGGTGGTTTAAAGTCGTATTTGCACCCTCTCCACTCACCGATTAGATCCTGGGGGCAGCCAGGGGCATCACGGCTGCGCTAATCTCCACCAACTGGTAACAGCAATCCAAGGTTGTTACACAGTCAGTGGGATCCCAGGAGACAAAGGTACTCCAGCCACACTTTCTCTTGTCCCTACTATGCACTTAACCCAGAGGGGACGGAACTGTCAGGAGGTTGTGTAGAGGCTACTTTACCAGCCAGGGATTCCTCTGCAATGGGGGACTATCCACGTGGCAGCAATGCCAAAGGGTCCAAGATGGATCTGAGGATTTGGCGCACACAATCAGTGACCATTTTAGCGGCTTATTAGAACTCAGTTATGAGCGCCTCCCATTCTGGCTGCTCATACATTTCAATCAGGCACTGAGAAATTGTGGCCCCTAAAGGTGTGTAGAGCATTCTCAAGGATTTCTCCAAACCTCCTAAGGGAGGGAGGTCTCTTCCCTGACTGACCACAGGAACAGAGACCTCTCTGCCTTTTACAATTTGCTGCACAACCACAAATGGCTAGTTTAAAAATCCAAAGCCTCTGGTACTGTGTTCCAGTGGTGGGTCAGACCAAAGGTCCACTTAGCCCAGTATCCTGTCTTCTGACAGTGGCCAATGCCAGGTGCCCCAGAGGGAATGAACAGACTAGGGAATCATCAAGTGATCCATCCCCTGTCGCCCATTCCCAGCTTCTGGCAAACAGAGGCTAGGGACACTATCCCTGCCCACCCTCGCTAATAGCCATTGGGAACTAAAATAAACTCTTAAGGGAGCTCAGCCCCAAGAATGCGGATATTACTCTAATTAGTGGGAGCTGTTGGGCACTTCCCTCCTTTAAAATCTGCAAAACATGCAAAGTGTCCCTAATAATTAGGTATTTTGAAATGCTCAGTAGCTCTGTCAGGTCTGTATTCAAGCTACACATGACAATCCAGAATGCAAACTGGTGACCAATCACCTTCATGCCCAGCAATGCCCCTAATGCATGAGAGTTGATTAGGCACCCCTTTGCAGCCTTTAGGTACCCCTATGATAATTGGAGCATCTTTCTTGGTACCATTCATTATTTTTAAGATTGGCTTGTTTGTCATGGCAAAAAAAAAAGGGGGGGGGGAAGCCACACATTTAGCTGGGGAAAAAAGGGGGGTCTTGCTATGTGGAAGAAACTACCCTTTCATTTGCAGTAATCATTTAAACCCATCTAATAATAAAACTCCAAGTTTTAGAAAAATCTCTGCTTAGGGCCAAGTCTTTCCTCTATGAAAGCCCCTCCAAGCTGTGATGATGGTCATTACCCTTCTCCAGGCAGGTTCTATTTCTGACCTTTCTTTGAGTGAAGGCTTGTTTTTGTACCTCTGTCCCACCAGTGACTCTGGTATCTGCCCTGTAGGAGTATCCCTTACACCACTTACACATGCATCCGAAGAAGTGGGTATTCGCCCACAAAAGCTCATGCTGCAATACGTCTGTTAGTCTATAAGGTGCCACAGGACTCTTTACCACTTACACCAGCATCTGAGGACAGGTTTGGGCCGAGGCCCTGTATGCGGCTGCAGTATTTCTGAAGGCCACCCCTAGCACCAGCGCATATCCTGGCATTGCCTCACCTGGCCTTAGAAAGCCCCTGCTCCCTTCGCAATACCCACTTTTGTGACCCCCGTCCCACTTTGCAGCGCATCACCTGCCCGGGTGGCACCTGGCTGTCGGGGTTCGGCCTGAAGGCGGCGCTCTTTGTTCCCGGGCCAGCAGCTCGCACGTGGCTGGCGAAGTTTTATTTTACAAGCGGCCTTGGGCCTAGCCCGCCCTTCCCCTGTAGCCCAGACGGCAGATGGCCCCAGCCGGGCCAGGTTTCCCTCCCGCTCCTCTAACTTCTCTGCAACCGAGGTTAAGAACAACCCCAGCCCCACAGAGCTGTAACCCTGCAGCGGGGCGGGGCCGCCCTGGCCCCCAGTTCTAGTGGCTCAAATTCCCTCCTGGAACTTCCTGATGCTCCAGTCCTGTTCAGACCTGTTTGGAACCAAACCCCCGTGTGAACTCCCCGCCCTGCCCCCCCTCCCCCATTGGCCTCCGGGTTCCCTTGGGCTCTTGCCACTTTTCTGCTGGCCGGGCTCCTCTACTCCAGCGAGTCGGGCAGGGAGCGCAGCGCCTGCCTCCCCCACCCCCAGTAAACCGGACTGGGCAGCTGGGTTAACGCGCGGCGGGTTCCCACGAGCCCGGGGTAGGAAGGGGAAGCGGGGCGCAAATTCTGCTCACCCCGCTTGTCACTCACAGCCTTTGCAGCCGCTGGGCTCCCGCTGCCTCCGGTGCTGCGGGGCAGAAAGCAAGGCACACCCGGGGTGGGGTGGGGTGGGGGACGCCCCGCACCGGTAAAGCCCCCAGCTCATAGGGCACGTGGGGGTGGTTTTGCCTCCCTGCCGTGCAATTGACTCGCTCCTACTCCAGCCATTTTATAACCCCCCATAAAAACCTCGGTCCATCTCCCGTGCGAGGCAAGCGGAGTACAGCCGGGAGCAGCAGCTGGGCCCCTTGCCACGAGCCCTGAGTTGTAAAAACCCGGCTAGGTGCCAGGGGGAAGGTGGCCCGGCGCTAGCCAGCTGCAGGGCTTATGCCAACGCTGATTACAAGGCGCCGCCCGGAGCGTGGGAAATCGCCAGTGATTTGGCTCGTGGCCACGGAGGGGGCTGCTGGAAACAGGGCAACACAAGCAGCCTTCGCATCCCGCCAGCCCTGAGCTGCCCCTGAAATCTTGTCACCCAGATTTCAGCCGCACGCGTCCCAGCGCCTTCACTTACTAGCAGCCAGGATGTGCCATCAGTTCTCACACCCACCACAGCCGCCTGGAGGGCAGCCCAGGCTGATCGATCAGCTCGTCTTGCACTTTAAAGTATGTGCCCGTGTTTCAGATCAATACACATTGAACGTCTATGTTGCTAAATCGCTATATTCGCCACCTATTTGGGCAGCAAGGCGACATAATCAGTATTTGTATTTGATGTAGCGATGTGCTGTTTCCAAGGAATTCAAAATGACACCAAGGTTGCTTTGCATTAGCTGCCCCCCTCTTACATGCGTCTGAAAAATCACCCGGTGATGCTACATTAGCAGCAACCACCTTAAATGCTTCGAAAAGAAAAGGCGGTACAGACCCTCTTTTACACTGCTGACGCCATTAAGTTTTAAAAGGATAGTGAGTATTTGATCAGCTGCCCCTTCATGGAAACCAGAGAATAGGAATGTTTAACAGTGGAAGCCATTCTAAATCTGGACTCAAAGGCTCAAATCCTCAAAGAAATCCACAGAAGTTAGGAGCCTAAATACCTTTGAGGATCTGGACCATACAAACTAACACCCAAAACATTTGGTCTTCCTTGTTAGGATAAAGTCCTTTTTTCTTAAGACTCATAAACCAATTACGTATTATTTGATCTTGGCAGCTTTCATGAGCAGTTGCCTACATTTTCCAGTTGCAAAAGGTAAATCTAACCACAGATTTATTGGAGCATTTTCCAAGGTAACCCCCCTTGGAACATAAACAGGATTCTCCCATGCCTCTAGCTATCTACAATGTATATTTCAAGTCAAGTAGAAGCCAATGTCACAGCTGGAGGAAGAGAGATTTCCTAATTTTTAAAACTAAGTCCCATTGGTGGAAATCTGTCCATTTCTGCAGGAAGATTTATACTGGATATGAAAACATATCTAATTCAGGTGGTATCTAGTATTCCTTTCACAAAATACCCACCTTCAAGTTGTGTCTTAAAGCAGAGCATGTTGTTGTTGTTGTTGTTGTTTTAGTCACCAACAGCGAAATTAGTGAGTGTACATTATGGTGAA